CCATACACCTTTGTATACCTTTTTTTTTTTTTTTTTTTTTTTTTTTTTTTTTTTTTTTGTGATTGCGTGTCATTTGGTGTGGAAAAACAAACAAACAAAAAATAAAATGATGTCCACACACACACTAGCGTACATTCACACAGATATATATATATATATATATATATATATATATATATCTTCACGTAACGTGGTAAGCATTCACCTTTCCTTTCCTTTCCTTTCTTTTTTTTTTTTTCTTTCATTCTCACATACGTTTCAGTCGGGGTACAAAGCCGGGCACCGTCTTTCCCAATGTACGTGGAGATACAGGTCCTTTGACTTCTTTTGCCTCTTGTCGTTGTGGTTTCTTAATCGCCATTCGTATTTTCCCATTGGCCACTAAAATGCAGCCGGCGCCGTTCTGATGACCGGCGTAATCGGAAGTAGAGAAGATGGTCACCACACGGGCATTATCTGAAAGACGAAGTCCATCTGCTTTTTCTTGATGAGCACGGAAGATGTATTGATAGTTGTAGCGTTCACAAAACATATCAACAGCGCGAGAACCGAATGTTTTAATATCCGGCCCGCGTGGATTAGGGCCAAAACCATATTTATCCAATTGATGATTTGGTGGAGCGGGATCAGACCAAAGTAAATCATTCACCATCATGCGTTGGGCTACATTCGTTGGATCTGTACATTGCACTACGGGAATGCGGGGAAAAGAGGGATCGGAGAGAATCTCCAGTCGCTTATCTTCACCGCCAGAGTATTGTGGAAGACCACCATGTACACAGAAGATCTTTTTATCAATATCAGCAATTACAGGAAGGAACTGAAAGACTTCATTTACTGCCACCCAAACATCAATACCACGATCACGTCCAAACTTATCCAGACACTGATACTTGAAAGAACTGTATCCGTAAACATCCATATCCCCATTCACCTCAGGGGATTCATGATTTCCACGTAAAAGAGTAACTTTGGAAGGGTTAATGACCTTTAACGCAAATAAATACATCACACATTCTAACGAGAATGCACCACGATCCACATAATCTCCAAGAAAAAGAAGATGTGTGGTAGTATATTTTAGCATAATGTCATCAAAAGCCACCACTTTTTCCAAAAAGTAAGCCATATCTGCAAAATTACCATGAATATCTCCAAAAACTGTAATAGGAGACTTTAGTCGTACAAACAATGGTTCCTTAGCGACCACTTCACGACATTGATTACATACTGAAATCACAAGTTTACAAAACTCTGGAAGATTTTCATAGTTAAATCCATTATGATGAGGATTGGCTGCTCTTCTTATAGTTTCAATAAGACGAGCCGCATCCACTGGTGGTTGTGTGGGAGAATTCATATAATTTCGCATATCTTGTAATTGCAACATTGTACTGTGACTGGCCACAGCCTCATCAAAGGCTCTGGGTTTTGTTCCCATGCCTGGTGCCATTCCCGCACGTGGTGTATCCGGTTCCGCCACACCTTTTTGTCCAACTGCATTTTGTAATAAATCCACAATCGTTACGGTTTGTGGGAGATTTGCAAAGTCATCTTCGCAAAGAAGTACATTTTGTGAAAAGACGTACTTTTCTGGAACATTTCCAGCAGGAGAAGTTTGTGGATTTTCATGTCCACGTTTATCATCACGTCGTTTTCCATGAAAGGCGGGTTCTGCCAATATTACAGTTTCCATCAATCGTAAACGCTCTTCCATTTTAAAAACCGTATTGCATACATTGGAGAGTAACTCTGGAGGCACCTTTGAGATAAAGGTATTAAACTCCGCGGCTGTGAGTTTAGCATTACTGATACAATCATAATTGGTATTACTTCGCCCAGATAAGATCTCATCTGTGGTAATGAGATCCAGTTCCACCGACCAATCGGGTTTTAATGTCTTTATACGACCCACTTTGTAAAGTGCTCGTCCATCTGTGGAGTCTTCCACGCGGCAGCGAACAAAAAAGCCCGAGACGAGTGGAAAAAGACGTGAACGAATTTTATGATGCCATTCGGATAACTTTTCGCGGTTAATAGTGACGGCTTGTGCCATTTCAAGTGTAATGACATTATCCGCATGGAAAGAGGGACTGACACCCATGGGTGAGAGATCAGGCGGTGCCTGTGGAGACGAGGGAACATTCGGTGGATCCATTTCTTTTTTTTGTTTTGTTCTTCTTCTTAATTATTGGTGTTTTTTTTTTTCTTTCCTTTCTTCTTTTCTTTGGGGGACAGGCTTTTTTTTTTTTTTTCCTTCTTTTCTTTGTTCCTCTGTCTCTTTTCTATTTTTTTTCTTTCTTTCTTGTTGTTGTTCTTCTTCTTCTTCCTTTTCTTTGATTACTAGGGCTATACTCTATTGCTTTGTTGTTGTTGCTGTAGTTGTAGTAGTTGTTGTTATTCCCTTATCGTTCCTTTTTTTCTTTTCTTTTTTTCTTTTTTTGGTTAGCGGGAATTCGCTTTATGTTCTCTTCACGTGAAATGTCGGCACGCGGGAGGGGACGACTAGGAAAAACAAACAAAAAAAGAGATTTGACCAATTCCACTCCAAACAATTAAAAAAGAAATTTAATGAAAGAAAAAAAAATAAATGGAAAGAAAGAAAGAAAGAAAGAAAAAAAAAAGAAATAAACAACAACAACAACAAAAAAAAATACAATAAAAAAGAGGCATCGAATTAAAAAAACAGAAGACAAGAAAAAAAAGAAAAAAAAGGAAAACTATAAATAAAGGAAGACCCATCAATAAATGCACGCAAACTCATTTATGCACGGGTATTTATATTTCTGTACATATATAAAGAAGAGGGGTAGTTTTCCAAATGATATACATAAATGTATATATATATATATATATATATGTGTATATACACATAAAGATAGATATGGGGACACACACATTTTTCTTTACAGACCAATCCACGTACAAAACTGTCTCTGTGTTCTTTTTTTTCCCCTATGTATATATCTGTATCTGTTTATGTGTATATGTGTATACCTCTTCTGTTTTGCAATCAAGCAAGAGAAAAAAGATCAATATAGATGCAAATAGATAGAAAAGGAGTTTTAGAAAAGCAAAAAAAAAAGGAAAACCAAGATATAATAAAAAAAAAAAAAAAAAAAAAAAAAACGAAAAATTAAAAAGAAGAGTAATAGCAACAAGAGAAAAAAAAAAGTTTTTTTTTTTTCCTTTTTTTTGCACAGAAATACATTATATTCCGTTTTCCATTATTTTATTTCTTTTTTCGTTTTTCGTTTTTTTTTTCTCTTTTTTTTTATTTCTTTCGTTTCTTCTTCTCTCTCTCTCCTCTTCCCTCTTCCTTCACTCCTTCACTCGGCAACGTAGGATCCACTCCTCACACAGAATCACAAAAAAAAGGGAAGAAGAACAACAACGAAAAAAAAAAGAAGAAAAAAATATATAAATACACACAATCAACAAACACACACCGACAGAGAGAAAGAGAAAAAAAAAAGATATTTTATACATTTTTCACAGCTTCCACAGACACATATATAAAATACACACAAAGAGAGATTATGCAGTTGTTGTTGGTGGTGGTGGTAGGGCAGGATAGCATGTGCTCAATTCCGCAATTCTTGCCAATGTATCTCTCGCATCACCACTCAGTGGAGCTGCGTGAGTGCGTGCATGTGTTAACACCTCGCAGGCCAGCGAGAGTGTCTTCTCCACTTCGAGATTCAACCGCGATGGTTCACTTAATAACTCCGAGAGCAGCGGGGATTCCCCACTTTTCATCGTACTCTTACCAACACAACTCTTTTCTTGTTGGGGTTTGATATCTTCAATCGCCTCGACGGGGCCACGCGAGTGGTACACACTGGTGAGTGGAGGAACCGGTGCGGATAAGTAAATCTCTCTTGGGCTTGGTGGTGTTGGCAGCGTTGATAAGATCTGCTGCTGCTCTGCCATCATTTTCTTTAGATTCGGTTCCTTAATAACAATAGCCGTCATTTTTTATTTTTATTTTATTTTTTTTTTTTTTTTCGTATGTCTGTGTTTTTTTTTTTTCTTTTTCTTTCTTATTGGTTTATTTATTCTTCTTCTTGTTGTTGATGAGGTTTCTTCTGAGCTTCAGTAATGAGCCGAGCTCTCCTGTGTTTGTGTGTGTGCGTGTGTGAATACACTAAAGAAGAAGAGAATGGAAACCAATTACAGTTACAAGATGCAGAATATAAAACAATAAGGTGTATGAAACTTCACTCACATTTCTTTTTTTTTTCTTTTTCTTTTTGCTCCTAGTCCTCTGTTCTCATCCGTCTTTTTTTTTCTTTTTTTTTTTTTTTTGCTCCAACGACTTTTATACAGCACTAGGGATCCAGATCCCTTTGTTTGTTTGCTTGTGTACATGAGTTATTCGATACAGATAATAAAATCGAACAACATCTAAAAGGAGATATATATATATAAAGGCAGATATATATAGCGAAAGAACAATATAAAAAGATCAAAATAAAAACACTGAAAATAAAAATAATTTTTTTTTTTTTGATTTCACTCTTTTTTTGATTTTCTTCTATACTTCTTGTTCTTTGCCTTTTCTGCTTCATTTTCAAGGATGATTTGCATGTGTTCTGCTGTTTTCTGCAAAATGTCATCAAGTGACTCCTCCTGCACATCCCCCACTTCCACACGAATACCATTTGCCTCATTTGCAGAATACGCAAGTGTTCGCCGCATTTCCGTAGAACTGAGTGATTTTGTAAAATCCAACAACTTCAACACGGTTGCCGTTTGAATCACTTCTAATGTGCACTCTACAGTCTTTGCCCCAAATGTATTTTCCCCACAATTAACCATGATAAGTGCCGTATTCTTTAATAAGGCTTTCATAATTGCTACTCCACCCTCATCGGTGATACCGTTTTCCGCTATATTGAGTCGTTCCAATAAAGGTGGATTAGCTGCGATGAGATGTGCCACTTCCAATGCACCATCATCACCAAGCATACAGTTGGCAATATTAAGATAACGTACACGATTTGGTGCGGCCAAGAAATGATGACAAAGTACTTGTGTCCCTTTTAGTCCAAGGGTATTGCTATGAAGACATACATCTAGAATAAATTCATTGTTTTCAAGGAGTTGACCCACTGCTTTACAACCTCTATGACGAACATCATTACGAAATAAATTAAGTACAGTGGTTCCTTTTCCACCATAGTGTTTTAAAGCCTCACATAAGTAAGTAGTACCTTCATCCCCAATGTGATTTGCCATAAGATTGTATGAACAGAGAGGATTACGTTGCATAGATCGCATTAGACCTTTTGTTCCCATTGGACCAACATTATTCCAACTGAGATCCACTCTACTGAGATCCCGGTGACATGCAGCGGCTTTGCTCATCGCTACTAAAGTAGCATCACCTAGTTGATTCCCTGCTAATACAAGCGTAAAGAGTGTACGGTTCCATTGACCAGGTTGTCCATTGGGGTTAACATTTGGAATAAAAGCACTTGCCAAAGCTATACCACCTACATCTGTGATATCGTTTTGAGATAAATTGAGGTGTTGAATACTTTCATTCTTCCTGAGAACTTCAGCCATTGTTACTGCTCCATCATCTCCAATATGATTTTGCGAGAGATCTAGACGCACAACATGTCGAGTCTTCATAAGTGCTGTACCAATAATTAAGGCCCCACGTGGAATAAGGTTTCTCCCTTGCAACTCCATAATAGGGGAAGCAAGTAAAGCCTTCCATTTCCTTCTGGTGAAGAAATTAGTTGTTGGATCTCTAGGGGTCCCAGGTGGTGGTATCTTCTCCTTCTTTTTCACCATTTTTTTTTTTTTTCCTCTTTGTGTTTTGGGTCGTACTTATATATATATATGTGTTTGGTGCGACAAATCAAAGAAAGAAAAAAAAAAAGAAGAAAAGAGAAATACATATACAGAAAAAAAGGTGGGGGAAACAAAAATCGGGAATACAAGAAAAAACAAAAGAAAAAAACCAAAGAAAGAGAGCAGACCAACCAGTTGATTTTATTATTTCCTTAGTTTGCCATAAGCGTTTGTTAGCAAGAGAATATGTTTTTTTTTTTTTTCTTTTTTGCCACTTTCTTACTTCTCCTTTTTATTTCTTGCTCTTGTGGCTCTTTTCCCTTCTCTTGCTTTTTAATCGTTGGTACACAAAAACTCCACTCTTTTCTCATTCTGCTTTTTCTTCCTTTCTTTCTCTTTTCTTTTTTGTGCTTTGTTTTTCCTTCTTTTTTTTTTTTCTTTCTTTCTTTCTTTCTTCTTTTTTCTTTCTTTTTCTTCTTTTACTATAAAAAACAACAACAACAACAACAAAAAAGAACGAATCTCATTTCAATATCTGTCCATCGCACGTGGCTGTCGCAGGGCTGCGAGGAAAGCCTCCTTCGTGGCGACTTGTTTCTTCTCTAACGCCTTATCAGCTGTGAGATGTTTCTCCTGCGCCTCTACAGCTCCCGCGGCCTTACGTGCCTGTGCGAGAGAATTAAAGAGCCGCACCACACCTGTAGTAGCCACTGTGCGTAAACGGTATTCGTAATCGTGTCGGTTTTGATGAGGCAACAGTCGATTGTGGGATTGACTACGCACGGCACGGTGTAAGAGCCGCAGTCCCACACCAGCGGCCGTAGATGTATTCCCTGCCTCTGCGTGATCTTCACTTTTACCTTCGTGTTTACTTTTTCCCATTGGAACAACTCGACTCTTGGCGAGTTCCACCGTACCAGCGGGCTGACGTGGTTTCTCTTTCTTATTAGATGAGGATGAACGTTCTGGCTTCTCACGGCTCTTTTTACTCTTTGTCTGTTCTGAATGTTCCTTTTTTCCATCTGCTGTATTACTACAGTCACCACTATTAGCAGTCGTTGCGGTGGTGATGCCGGTGAGTTCGGCAATGCGTTTTTGCAGATTTTCTTCAGAGAGTTTGGGTGCCCGCTTGACTAACGCCACTGTGCGTTTACCGCGGGCCTTACGCGCCGCTCGGCTTGTCTTTGGCTTTGACAATTTGCCCACGGCACCGCGAAAACGACCAGCCATCGTTCTAAGTGCTCTCTCCCTACTGAGGAATAAGCAAAAGAATTATTTGTTTTTCACACAGATAAAGAAAGAAAAACAAAAAAAAAAAAAAAAACAAAAGAGGAGAAAAAAGTCCATTAAAAATATGATAAGACACACATACGCATATATACAACACGCAGAGAGAAAAGGAAAGAGACAGAGAGAGAGAGAGATGGGTAAATAAATAAAGAAGAAGAGAAAAAAAAAGAGAGATAGAGAGAAAAAGAAAAAAGAAGGGAAGAGGGGAAGAAAGGAAACAACAGGAAGCGTCTCATAGGGAACTTTCTGCTGGTAGTAGTCAACTTATTTCTGTTTTTTTTTTTTTTCATTTCTTCTTCTTTTTTTTCTTTTTTTTCGGCTACCGCGACCGACCGTTGCCCATGAAACACTTAATTCCATTATGTAATTTTTCCTTATAGAATTTTCTTCTTATTCCTTTTTTTTTGTTATTTTCTTTTTCTTTTCTTTTCTTTGTCAACATTAAGCGTAATTAAATTAGTTATCTATAGTTTTTTTTTCTTCTTTCTTTCTTTTTTTTTTTATAAATATATATATATATATATATATATATATTTCATTAAACGAGGAGAAAGTAAATTAGATTACAGCAGAGACTTTTTTTTTTGCTTAGAACGTGACTTTCCTTGTTTTATGATTTCACTTCAAGAATATATATATATATATATATATATATACGTAGACGATGTACTTATTTTTATGTTATATTTCGCATTACATACCTACTTTCCTTTGTCTTCCCTCCCGCACATATATGGTGATAGTGTTATCTCTTCTCAATAACGTCTGTTAGTGCCGCGATAACCACCACCATTACCACCACGACCACCACCATTACCATAACCACCACCGCCGCCATTGCGATAACCACCACCACCACCGCCATTGCGATAACCACCACCGCCGCGTCCACCACGGCCTCCACCACCATAACCACCACCACCACCGCCGCGAGAACCGCTGTTGAGTTCTCGTGCAATAATGGGGGGTAGGGCTTCAATGACGCTTAACTCCATACCACGAATGGGAATGGATAAGATCTGATTGACGGACTCCTCTGGTACATCAAACACACATCCTGGGGCGTCTTGTAGGAGGGTGATATCTCTGCAGCGTGTAAAGAGATTATCCCCGAGATTATTACGGAGAATACTGCAGAAGACAGGAATAGGTAAGGTACGTTGTCCCAGCATTTGAATGGTTGCAGAACCCTTTGCTCCAGTAATGAGACCACGTTTCGTGATACTGGTGGTATAACCGCTCATCACAGCCAGGGCAGAGGCAAGTATTTCCGTTGGGTCCGCATCCTTCAACAATTCCGCAGCCTGTTCCATAAAGAGATCAGTGGCATTACGTTCCACTCGCGCCAAATCCTCTGCGGCATCTCTCGCTACCGCCTTGAGAATTTCATCACGGGTCGGGGCAGGAAGTACTTCAAACTTAATCTTGGCATGTCGCTCAATGCGTTCTACAACATACTCATCCTTTGGTTGATGGAGCAGCACACAGACACCTTTGCGACCCGCACGTCCAGTTCTACCAGCACGGTGAATAAAGGCATCAATATCTGTAGGGGGTGCACATTGAATAACAAGATCCACCATGGGGAGATCTAACCCACGTGCGGCAACATCTGTTGCAATAAGAACGCTGAACTTGTTTTCACGAAAGCTTTTCATGGTACTTTCACGTTGTTCTTGCTGCATATCACCATGAAGGCACTGAGAATCCAATTTACTGTTATTAATAGATAAATCATGACAGTCTTTCTTGGTATTGGTGAAAACGAGTGTGCGTCCATGGCGTCCACTATATACCTTTACCAAATCCGCCAACATGGAAGAGACCTCGCTAAAGTTACATTTGCGACGGTAAAATTTAATAGTGTTTGCAGTACGCATAGTACCTTGTCCAACCATATCAATAAACTCCTTTTTCTTTGAAATAAAAGAGCATGTATGTACCCAATCTGGGACAGTGGCGGAAAACAAAAGGGTTTGATGATTTGGTTTTTCCGTCAAGGAACCATTCTGTTCTGCCACCTTTTGCAGAAGAAGCTCAATATCATCCTTAAATCCAATATCAAGCATATGATCTGCCTCATCAAGACAAGCGATTTTCACTCGATCAAAGCGTAACGTCCCTTTTTCAAGAAAATCCTTCGCACGACCAGGTGTAGCCACCACAACATCAACACCATTGTATAAAACCCGTTCCTGAGTTGTGTAGGCCACACCACCGTAAAGTGCGGCCACCACAAAACCATGGCTGATCCCAGCAATCACATCACGTACTTGAATTGCCAATTCCCTCGTAGGACAAAAGACGACAGCAGCAGGACCACGACCACGCGCCAACGGTTCTTCCATCTTTGTAAGTTTCTCCACAATGGGAATACCAAAGGCAAGAGTTTTGCCACTGCCTGTGCGGGCCTGAACAAGGACGTCAACACCCTTCATAATAGCCTCAAAAGTGAGGGCCTGAACAGGAAAGAGTGATTCAATACCTTGGCTTTTCAAAGCTTTCACCGTCTCTGCAGAGATGTCAAATTCGGAGAAGGGGCGACCCGTTGCGGCAGAGCCGTTGTTTGGCACTTCAGCTTCAGCAGTAGCCTCACCTTCTGTTGTTTCAGTGCGAGGACGCTTTTCCTTTCTGAACTCGCTGCTGCCATTTCGCTCTTGTTCCTCACTTCTCTGTCGAGACATTTTTTTTTCTTGATTTCTTTTTTTTTTTTACTTTATTTCCTTCAATACTCTTTTACGCGCTGCGTTTCTATATATGTATATATAAATATATATATACTATACTATACTATACGTATATGTATACGTGTATTTCTGTGCTGTTTTGTGTTACTTTTACACCCCAAGAACAAAAAAAAAACCCAAATACACACAAACCGTCAACAAGGATAAAAAAAAAAAAGATAGAAACAGTAGAGAAAAACAAAATAAACAAATAAACATATATACATATATCTATGTATGTATATACAGAAATCAATAAAATATATTTATATACGTAAAACATATATATATATATGTAGAACTAGTACATATAGAGAAAAAAAAATGAAGAAAAAAAATATAAAATAAATGGCAGAGAGCAGGTAGTGAATAAAAAAAAAAAATGAAAACCCTCCTCTTTCCTATTTCGTACCCGCAATAAGAGAAGTACACACAGATACCTATAGCAACCACACAAGAAAAAGGAAAGATGGAAGGAAAAAATTGCTCTTGAAGAGAGAGAGAGAGAGAGAGAAAAAAAAAACTTGCCCAAAACAAGCAAGTGTGTATTAGCAACGTCGTATGTTTACCATCAATGATGAAGTGTGTCTTTGTACCTGCATCTGTGGGACGCGTGAGTACGAAGGGAAAGAGGTAAAGGAGGGGAAAAAATGGGGTATCAAGAAATGATGGCATATTCAGGAGCTTGTTTCTTTCTTTGTCTTTCTTCTCTTCTTTGTTATATATATTATATATATAATATAATATATATTCTTATTTTGCCTTGTTTTGTTTTCTTTTTTCCATTTTTTTTTTTTTTTGCTTTCGGTGCATCCATTGCACCTGTAGATATATTTGTCTCCATATATGTACACACACACACATACATATATATATATCAATATCAATATAAATATAAATATATATAAATATAAATATAAATACAAATATATTTATATATATATGTATAGATATACACCTAAACTGCTCTGTGTGTTTGGATGACACGATACATATAGGGTAGACCAACTGTGACGGTTTTCCCGATCTACGAACAATATTTAAAGTATGAGGTCGCAGAGGAGCGTTGCATGCCAAAGGGAACACTAATACAACGACCACCCACAGGTGTACTAGTATTATCATATAATGAGTTTTCTGGTTGTTTCATAGCATCAAATGCCCGTCTGACATATTCTCGATCTCCCACAAGTTCATTTACTGGCATTGGCCAAGTATCTTCCATCACCACAGGGTTGTGATCATCATCAGCTTCAGTGCGAAACCATAGGAATTGAAGAGCTTCTCTTGCTCGTGGTCGTTTGGTTGGGTCAAAATGTAAGAGAGCCCTTGTTAACTCAATCGCCTCTGGTGGAACATTCGTCCATCGAGGTTCGGCGAATAATGGTCCGGCTTCCATTTCCTTTACTAGTTGCATTTTATTCCCAGAGTGATGAAACGGTAATTTCCCACCTAACATAACATATAAAATAGCCCCTACTGCATACACATCCATTCGAGGAAGAAGATCTGCTGTAGTGGAAAGTTGACTGCTTTGCGTAAGACTCTTCACAGTTTCTGGGGCGGCGTAATTTAAAGTTCCACACGGAGTAGCAATGAGAGGACTGTCGCAGTGAGAATCCAAAGACTCCACAGAGGAGGATCGTCTCGGGTCATGCATAGAAATAGAAGAAAACCGTCCACCGCCTAAACGAGGACGAGGGGCTGTTTTCCGTGTAAATGCCCTTGCGAGACCAAAATCCACCAGCGTCACATGATATTGACCATCTTCCATGGGTGTGACTAATATATTTTCAGGCTTAACATCACGATGTACCACTACCACCTCACTGTGTAAGTAATCCAAGGCCTCTAGCAATTGCTGTACCACTGACCGCACTTGCTGTTCAGAGAAAACGGTATCGCGTAGAGCTTTAAAGAGTTCTGTACCATCTACATGATTGGTTACAATAACGACATGAAGTGGGGTATGAAAATAATCCAGGAGACGCAAACAATTTGCGTGCTTAATGCGCCGAAGTACTTCCACTTCATTAATGACATCAAGGCGCATCTTTTCAGAGGTAAGATCACGCTTATTAAATACCTTGAGTGCAACGACTTCTCCTTTTCGGATACTTTCCCCATCTACGAGACTCACGGCCTTGAAAACAGAGGCAAATGTCCCACGCCCAATAAAGTCATAAATGTCATCTGTCTCATACAGCTGGTCAATGTGACGTTCCTCACGGAAGGGAAAAAGTGACATACGCAAGAGAGAAGTCGTAAATCTTCCCGATGATTTTCTTTAACCATAAAAGAGTAGTAATAGTAGAAAAGGAGAAAAAGAAAAAGGAAAAGAAAAAAAGAAAAAAAGAAAAAAGAAAGGAATAAATTTCATTCAGTGTAGGTTTGTGTCAATATCGGTGTACACTCCGTATCATCACTAACGATGACAAAGAAACAGGTTAGTTAATAGACCACAGAAAAACGCAGACAAAAAAGATAAATACAAAACAAACACACAAACAGAAAAAAAAAAGAGTGGGGAGTGAACATCAAGAATCCCTCTCCCTCCCCATCCGTACCTCCATCTGTACATCGCTCTAGGCCTTCTCTCTCTCTCTCTCATCTCTCAGGAAGAAACAAAGAAAAAAAAGAAAGAGAGAAAGAGAGGGTGAAATGCTTTCCACACACACACACAGACATTTTCACCCTCTTCCTTCTCCCTCTTCACAATAGACACAAACACACATACGCACAGACCCAAACACACACACACAAGGACACAAAAGAAAAGAAATAAAAATGGAATAGGAATCATTATTTACGTCACAGTTTTCCAAAGGAGAATAGATAATTGACCCCATGTGATGTAAATATAGCCTTTCGTTTCGTGTGTTACGTAGGAGCCAAAGTTCTTTCCAACAGCACAATGCCAAATTCCCTTGTACTTTTTCTGAAACTCACGCTTCACAAAAGATGCCACTGCGCTTTCAAGAGACTCCGTTTCAAATGCCTGAATGACGAGGTTGCGGGCTTCCTCTTGCATATCTTTTGTCATATCGGCATTAATATTAAACTCTGCCAGCTTCGCCATTTTTTTTTTTCTTTCTTTTTCCTCTGTGTTACTTTCTTGACTCTTTTCTATTTGGGTGTATGTTCCTATCCACTGATACCACTTAACTGTGGGGAGCGGAATTATACGTACATGTCATGTGAGAATAACACACATGTATGAAAAAAATAATTCCACCAAAAAAAAAGAGAAGAAAAAGAAAAGAACCTCATTAGCAGAAAACCAAAGCTAAAGGGAGTACACATGTGTGTAAAAAAAAAAAAAGAGAGAGAGATAGAAAGAGTAAAAAAAGAAAAGAGAAATAATTCTCTTTATTATTATGGTTGTTGCTTTTGTTTTCGTAATCGATTTCGCTCCTTTTCATTTGTTGTTGTTCCTCTTCTTGTTGTTGTTGTTGTTGTTCTTCCCTCTCTTGTGGTTTTTGTTGTTTTCTGTTGATCTTTTTTTTTTTTTTTTTGGTCAGAATACGTGAGACGCATCCGGCATGTGTGTGATTCACAGCTGATCAGGTTGCAATATCATATCAAGCCCACTCTCACTTTTTTTTTCTTTTTCTTCTTCTTTTCACGACTTGTCACTTTTTTGGATAAGTAATTGTACAGCTGTTTTTATTTCCTGCACCTGCAACCTCAGTTCTTCTGTCGCAAGAACTGCTTTATCCTGTTTTCGTGTGAGAGTGGTAACAGCATCCACTAACGCACTGTTGTGATGGACGAGCAAGCGATTAGACTCCATCAGAGTCTTATTCATCTTCTCAAGTGTGGCATTCATAACTTCTAACCGTCTGTTCGCTAGCAGTAAATGTCTATACTGCACTCCAACCCTCCGCCTGTTTGTCATTCCGTATGGACGACATCTATTGAGGGAAGAGTCTCTCCTCCTCCCATCATGTTTTTTCTTGCGGTAGTCATGATCATCATTATTATTGTCATCCTCATCATCATTATTACTGTTGCTACTACTGGGGCCACTACTTCCGTAGCGGTTAGACATATTTGGGTCTGTGAGCTCCACGTTCCACTGCGGCCGCGACTGTTTGTTTACCTCGGCCTCCAGTCCATGGTCCACGAAGCTGCCCTGGCTGCTCCGCTCATCCATATGTCCCACTCCTCACACCCTCTGAGCAGAACAGCAACAGAAGAGGAAAATGAGGGAGGGCGACAGGTGTGCACCAACCAGAAGGACTGAAAGAGAGAGAGAGGGAGAGAAAGAGAGAGAGAGGGAGAGAAAGAGGGAGAGAAAGAGAGAGAGAGGGAGAGAAAGAGAGAGAGAGGGAGAGAAAGAGAGAGAGAGGGAGAGAAAGAGAGAGAGAATAAAAAAGAGTATAGACGAATGGAAATCAATATATATATATATATATATATATATAAAGAAAGGAAAAAAGAAAGAAAGAAGGAAAAAAAGGGGGGGTAGTATTTACCATTACTTTCAAGAAAGACGCCCTGATTTGGAGCTTAAAAAGAGAGAAAGCAAAAGTTCAAAAAAAAAAAAGGAGGAGGGGAGGGGGAGTATAGGTGGGAAGATAATACCGCATCAAAGTATGTTAATAAGAAAGAAAGCAAATAAATAAAAAGAAAATATGAAAAGAAAAAAAACTGGTGGAACCATATTATATCCATATCACGTACACACATATCCGAATATATCGTATCGTCTCACCTCCCTAAATCATTATTGCAAAACTGTGATAGAATCATCCCATGGCCAAAATATTGAGACTAAAAATTTATGCACCCCTTTCTCTCTTTCTCTCTCCTTAAAAAAAAAAAAAAAAAAAACGAAAAACATCCCTATCCTCTCAATATCCAATATGTACAAGTAAGTATTCCTTACCGTTATCAAGCTACTCTTGTTTTTTTTTTTTTTTGAAAAGCTTCTCAACTAAACCCATACTTTATGTCCTCCATATTTGCATGTCTTATTTCAACCACTCGTCTTCGCATGCAAATGATAACTTCTCTCCATTCCAAATTTGGAGTCAAGATGCTGCCGTTACACCTACTGCATTTTTTTTTCTTTTTCATTTTACTATCTTTTTTTCTTTTTTATCTCTCTCGATATATATATATATATATATATATATATATATATTTGTACACGCACGCACACACACAACCTTTCATCCTCTGTTTCTCTCCCTTCCTGTCCCTTTGGTAAGTAAAGACTCAGCAACAGCAAAAACAACAATAACAACAAAAAAAAAAAATCCACAACACTACGAATGTTCCTTTGATGAGCCACCAAGCATACTCTGGGCGGTATTAAACAAATTAACAGGAGATTTCCCGTCCGTAATAAGATATCCCTTCAAACCCAATCCTCCCAGCAGCTTCGCCTGTAATTCCGGTCCAGCCTGTGCAATTGCCACAATGGTCTCACGTCCAATAGCATTTACCATTCGTCGAATCCGTTCTGTTTCTGCTTCTGCCACTTGTCGTGCTTTCGTAATCTCCAGTTCATTCTGTCTCTTTGCAAATTCCAATTCAAGATCATACTTTTGTTTTTGCTTTTTCAGCTCGGATTCTGCCGTTATTCGGTATGCCTTTGCCCGTATCTGTGCCTGCTTCAACTCGGATTCTACTTCGATCAATAGTGATTCTGCTTTCGCTTTTGCCTCTGCGACGGATTGACCACTTGCTTGAACGGCCTCACTTTTCGCTTGCAGTTCCAACCACTTTGTCTTTGCTCGCTCGACTTCAATTTTATCCAATAATTTCTGTCGCTCTAATTTTCCTTTTGCCTCCTGATCTTTTCGCTCTTTTCCATGGCGTGCCGCTGCCTCCTGAGACTTTGTAGTAATTTCAATGGCAAGTTGAACAGACTTTTGTAAACTATCCCTCGTCTTGGCATCTGTTGGCTCAACGGATTGAATATCAATGTTTGTTACCACCAGATTATTGGCAGCGAAGCGAAGGACATCTTTAATTTCACCACTTTGATCACAACCAAAGACCGCCTCACGAATAATTTTTGCCGAGTTGCGATGAAAGGAATCAAAATCTTCCGCGGCCACGGCTCCTCGAACACGTGAGGCAATCGTTTTACAACAATCACCCACAAAATCTGGTACAGAAAATATTTTGGCATCCGGGTTTTTACGATCCACATCAAAGTACCAATTATAGGATAAGTTAAGTTGTAAACTAGCATGATCAGATGTTTCTACAATAACTGTATCACTTGAAAAACGGGGTCCCAAAAATAATTGAAGGCATTGCAATGTATTAGGTTTTTTGGGTTTTCCTCCACTAAGTGAAAGGACGGTGAATTCTTCTTCAGGAGAGAGAATCACCAAATTTGGACCAAGTACTACACGTGGTTTTTTCTGTTTATAGTCATATATTTGTACTGCCGCGTTATGTTGAACGTTAAAGCGAACAATATGATGCTTAACACGTGAACTTACAAATTTATCATTTAATCCTATTTGCTTACTACATCCATTAGGAGAGGCCAGCAATTCCTCCACTTCTGTGGAGAGATGCTTTTCCCATAACACCTCATGTTCATTTAACATGTATGGACTCCCTATCACTGCCCGTACCACTCCAGTTCTGGTGTCCATTACGTATATCCCTTCATTCTTATCTAATGGAATCACACTTCGTTGCTCCAGTACACGAACATTGAGATCTGGGGCGTATTCCGCAACACCACGTAATAACCATGTTTCCCCAGCCCTACGTCTGAGACCATTTTCTTCAAAACTTTTTATAGCTTGAAGTAGTAGCGCTTCATCTTCGCCAATAACTTTTACCGATTGTAGACCTGTTAATTTCTCTCCTGGGTGAAGGAAGAAACTACATTCGCCTCTACGTACATCTTGTTTACCAAATTGATTTAATCCATCCTTTCCAACAGGATTCACAATGATACAGTATTCTTTGCCAGTCAAAACAACAGCCTGTACAGTAGTAATAAGTTTCTCATGTACATCAGGAATATGTACAGGGGCGTCATCTTTTGTAATTAACCATTGTTCTCCTGCTTTTCGAATCTTACCATACACATCTGTAAATGTACGACGAGCTTCAAGATGAATAGCTTTTGTCTCTGTTAGTATAATACCCTCCACAATACTTAAGAGTTGTTCCTCCACTGCAGGAAGGTAAGCGCCAACGGTTCTATGCATCCATAAATCACCGGCACTTCGATCAATGCCATTACGATCCTTAAAATCAACCAAGGCTTGAAGATGTAATGCTGTATTTGGAATAATAGTGTAGGCGTCTACTTCTCGAATAATTTTAACTTCAACACGTGGAATATATGTTTTTGGACCTTCTTCCATCCATTCCATACCAGCTCGCACCAATCCACGTTCACTGTCTTTAAAATCACAAATGCAGCGAACGTGATAACCCTTATTAATGGGGATGGCTTTTAATTTAAATAACCATTCATCATTTTCCTGTTTAAGAATTTCACCAGGTTCTAGAGGAAATGGTTCCTGTTCGAAACGTATTTCTTCTACCCCCATACGCAACATGACACTATTATTTCCATCTAAACGCGGTTTCCCAGATTTATCACGTACACAAGGGTTTTGAACCACACAGTAACATCGTGGAGGTATAACAATACAAGGTAGTGGATCAAAAAGACATCTCTCGTGTTCTTTACGTGTATACACTAATGGACCCACAATACATCGTGTTACATTCGTGTTATTGTCCAATAAATGAACATAATAGTGTCTCTTTATACGTATGATATCCCCCATTTTTTTTTTTTTTAGACTGTATATAATGTGTGCACGTATATATATGTATACGTATATATACGGATATGTATGTATCTATTATTCGTGCAGATAACGTGAGCTTTTTTTTTTTTGTTGTTGTTGCCCTTCTTTTCTTTCTTTGTTGTTGATGATGATAATAATGCTTCTGTTTTTTTTTTCTTCTTTTATTATTTGCTTGAATAAGAAGAAACAAAACAATGGAAAAAATAAAATAAAAAGAAAAGCAAATAAACTATGTTTTAAGGAAAATAGGGAAAAAGTAGAACATAAAAATAATATATGAAGAAACTATTTTCTGTCCTACAAGAAAAAAGAAAAAGAAAGGCTTGAGAAAAATGGCTTCTTCCAATGTCACAATCATGACAAAGTATCCGGGAAGAAAATCTAGTGTAAAAAAAAAAAAAAAACAAAAACAAAATAATAATGATAAAAGAAAAAAAAAAAAAAACAAGTAGAGAAATCTATCATCTTCAGGGAGTTGGTAATGCTTTCTCAAGAGCTCCCCTTACCATCTCATCAGAAACATAAAAGATGAAAAAAAGAAAAAAAAATTTTTTTTTCTTCTTTTCGTTTTTTTTTTCTTTTTCTTGTGTATTCTTTTAAAAAATAATGAGAAACCTTAGGACTGTTTTTGAGAATGCTGCAACTCCCTAAAGAGTTTTTGGATCAATTGATCACGCTCACGCAGTTCTCGTTGAAGCCGCTCTATTTGTTCTATGTGTTGTTGACCAATCTCACGCATTCGTACTTCAAAGTGTGATTGCATTAATTCTGCTCGAAGCTGCAGTTCCTCCTCACGAGATGCTGCAGACGCATGATGTGAGCAGTACTCTCTCAAGCCTCTTGTCTGTACGGCCAATTCCTCATGCATGTGATCCATACTACGAAGATCACCCCGTAAATCGGAGGCTCGAGCTGCAATCTTTTCCATGAGAGCATATAAATCATCCATCTGTGTTACCATTTCGGTAGGTGGAAGTAAGTGAAAGTATGATTTTACCTCCCGAGATTTTTGCATAAGGGCGTGAATACAACGATCCACCGACATGAGTTCCTCATCTGCTAAATTGATGATTTCTTTGAGAGATGAACGACGTCTCTCTACACCCTCAATCTCAACCGATAAAATAGATCGTCGCATTTTTGCAATAGATAATACATGGGTCGCCTCATCTACAACGATTTCTTTAAACATACGGTCTTTTAACCGTTGCGGTAAAATTTGATGTAAAAACAAGGGTTCATCCTCATACGAATTCTTTTCCTTATTGAAGGAAACAATAGGATACTTTCCCAATTCACGCATAACACAAGCACCCAGTTCATGTTGTCGAGGAGCACAAAGATCCCATACAGACTCTGTCACAATAACTTGTCCTCCTTGTGCCAAGGAACAGGCGTGAATAACTTGAGAAACCGCCCGACCATAATAATGACAACGATATGAATCCCCAGATGGTATACCACTTGGCTCCACAAACGTATCACCTGTATGAATAGCCATGGATAGACGTAACCCACGAAATAACAAGGTATTATCTATACTATACTCTTCCATACCCCAAGGAACTCGTAAAAGGGATTTTGGCCAAGGTAAATTCATTAACCATGATTGTGACTCTACACCAAAACGACAAGCAGCAATAGGGTCATCAAAGGCTAAAAGCATGGATGTACCATCACTGAAACATTCATAACCTCCATATTCCACCATTTTGGGTCGTATCGCCGTATTCATAAGAGCTACAGAAGCTCGTGCTGTTTCCTCATCTTCAGCCCACAAATGATTTCCTTTAAAAACACCTAAACATACAAATATGACATTCTTTTGTGGGGGTTCAACAGATCCCATATTTCCCACCGCATCTTCAAGGTCATCACTGAAAAAATAAAGACGTGATAGAGTTCTATTAAGAAACTGCTTCGTCTCTAAACACTTCTCTTCAATTTCCCTAAATGCCCTTGAAAGACGTTCTTGTTTCATACTCAAATCATCAAATACAGCTCCCAAATTTGGTTCTTCATTAGATGGACGTTGAATTTCATCAAGTTTTGTGTGTTTTAATTGAATGAGACGATGTACAATTCGTTCCAATGTCACCTTTGCCATAGGATCTTCCAGAAGAGTTCTTGGGCCGTACAATGAAGGTGCCTCAATCAACTCTGGGTCATGTGGCTCTACAGCCTGTTCCGGTGCAGTTTCCATAAATTTAGTGTAGAAAGCATCCAACATGCGAAGAATATACGCATCCCATTGTTTAAAATGTACCAGTATATCTTCCTGGTTCGCAAGAGCCACAGATAGCTGCTCTGTGGCATGACGAGAATCTTTTCGGGCGGCAGTAAGTTCTTCTCCAAGTTTTTTGTTCTCTGCTTCTAATCTTGTACGTACTTCGTCTACACGTTCTTCAGCTGCGCGAATACGTTCCTTATAATCAGTTTCAATGCGATGAAGAAGATTTTTAGAGGCTGCCACTTCTGCTGCACTACGTTCCTCCGCTGCTTTATGATTTTCACGTGCAGCTCTTAACTCATTTACCATTTCTTCTGCTCTACCATTACATAATTTCTCTACATGTTCCAGTTCTCGTGCTGCCGCTTTTTTAACATCATCTACTTGTTGCTGATAGATTCTAGTAAGTTCTTCGCATCTAGTATTTAACAAACGTGTCTCATTACGTAGATGTGTTAAATCCTTTTCTTGTTGTGTCCTTAGTAAGCGAATTTGATGCTCTGTAGATATTTTCAATTCCTCTTTTTCTTTCTTTTCAGTCGCTAATGATTCCTTTAGTTGATCCATCTCTTTTTGCATCTCTGCTATTTGACTCTTGGCCTTTTCATTCACAGCGTACTCCAAGTACTTGGAATCATGTTTCGCATTTCCGAGCTGTGTTCGTAAGGATGAACATTTCCGTATAAGTTCCTCAATCTCTTTTTCTTTTAAGGCTAATGCCATTGCATGCTTTTGTGCACTTGTTGTTCGCCAAGGACGTTCCAACTCTGGACGATGAAAGAGTTCCTCTCCTCTTTGTACACCCGTCATTGTCTTGAGATACGTGCCAGGAATGCGACTGGCGCCATAGACACCAGTTGGTGGAACAGCACCGGCCGCTGTTGGGGTTTCCCACTCATTTGACGGTGACTCACTCGCCATTCGTCTCTAGAAAAGAAAACTAACATCAACAAAAACCAAAAAAAATGAGAAAAAAAGAAAAAAAAAAGATGAGGCAATAAGGGTGGAAAAAAGAACATATATATGTGGTAATATCAAGCAATTCAAAAAAAAAAAAGGAAAGAGAACAACAACAACAAAAAAAAAAAAATGAACAAGAACATTGGGCAAGACAAACAATAAAAAAAAAGAGTTACACTTCGCGTAAGGCAACACAGTTACATTTGTACCATCCACAGTAGAATAACACTCAGCTGGAGGCACCTCATTCGGAGATAGAAAATACATACATAAATAGATACATACATACATAAATAGATACATACATAATATATATATATATATATATATATATATATACATATATATATGCATCTCTCTCATTCCACTTTATCCCCCTACTATTTTTTTTTTCCATTGATTTGCTCTACACTGATTCTCTACCTCTTTTTTTTTCTTTCTTTTGCTTTTTTGTTCTGTATATATGGTGTATTCACTCTTTTTTTTTTTTTTTTTCTTCATTGTTTACATGCAAATGTATGAATATCGTATTCCACCACCAACCCTATCTTTTTTTTTTTTTTCTACAACTCGTATGGAATAAAGTGAATCTCAAGCGTTTTCTTCAATCGTGAAACTTCATCTTCGACAGATCGTACCTCCTCACGTCGCCTGGCCTCTGCAACCCGCAGATCCTCTCGGAGTGCCTCAATCATTTCTTCCTGGTTCGCGATACGGGCCTTCATATGTGTTTCGTTCTCTAGGGCCACTTGATCTTTCAATTCAATCTCCCTCGTTAGTTCACCAATCTTGTCACTTAAAATTGCAATAGTCCCCTCGTTCGTTGTGGTTCCATCTTCAATAGTTTTGCGATGCGGAATAAAATGAGCATCCAAGAGATTGGAGAGTCGTTTAATTTCCTCATCCTTTGATGCCGTCATGATATCAAGATTATTCTGCCGATCCTTGAGTGAGGCTTGTAAATGAAATGTCGTTGCCTTAAGAGCTGCTATTTCCGAAAGGAGTTGAGCTTCCCGCTCCTTTGCACCGTCTTGGCTTTGTATAAAAGTGTGTCGAACCGTGTCCAATTGTTTTTCTTTTTCTTTTGCCTCATCCGTTGTTCGTGAGAGTTCCGTTTCATGTAATTGTCGTTCGTGAAGAAGTTTCTGTTGTAACTGCGACATAACAGTACGGTTATTTGAGATTTGGGCATTCAAAAAAGTAATCTTATCAAAATTTTCTCGCTCCTTGCGTCGCAGCAAAGTTTCCAGTTCTTCCATTCGCTTTTGGTTAGCCTCGAGTTCCACTAGCGTTGTCTGCAATTCTTCCTCCAGAGTGGCTTTGGCATTCTGCGTAGCCTCGCTCTCTAAGGCGTTCTTCTCATGTAATGTTCGAAGTTCAGAAGAAAGGTACTCAGAATCGTGTTTAACCTGCTCAAGTTGTAGCTTATATTCCCGTAATACTCCATCAGATTCAAGTTTAATGTCCATATTTTCCTTTTTAAGAGCCTCAATCTCATCTTGCAAACGGGCACACTTCGTCTCTAGTTGCAAAAGTTCTTCCTTTGTCATGTTTGCACGTTTTCGTTCCTCATCTAGGTGATCTTCATATCGCCGTTTATTTTCATCCAGTTGTGCATTAAGCATTTGCATTAAAGTAACATTTTTTCTGTCATCTGCTTCACGGGATTCTACAACTTCTTGTAGAGAATGGTTCATTGCAAGTGCCTTTTCTAACTCTCGTTCAAGATTCCCAATCATGGACACCTGTTCCCGTATTTCTGCTTCCTTTGCATCCATTGTTATTTCCATCCTTTCCCGATACTCTGCATGTTCTGTCTTGGTAACGCTTAACTCTGTCCTCAGCTCCTCCATCTCATCTTCAAGAGCTCTGATATTCTTTTCAGCTTCTTCTCGTACACTGCGAAGCTTCAACTCTGCATTTTGTCGTTCCTGCAAAAGTAATTTTTGCTTATCCTCAATCTCCACTCGAAGCAAACTTACTTCGTTTAACAGAGAATCTCTCATGAGAACAAGTTGCTCCACTTGGCTTTCTGACGCAGCACGTTCATCGTGAAGAGATGTAGTGAGTTGCTCCACTTTCATCATAAGTTCTTTAACCTTTCCATCTTTCTCTCGAATAATGCGAACGTTTTCCTCTTTCCACAAAATAATACGTTCCTCCTGTTCCTCTCGGTCACGTCGATCATTCTCACGTTTCTGAATCTCTTCTGCTTCATTTTCCTGGGTGCGAAGCTGTTGAAGACGGAGTATTTCAGCACTTTCTTGCTTCTTACCTCCCTTCTTCTTGCCTTTTTTTGGAGCCATTTCCTTCTGTGTTCTTCTTGAAAAATAAAATCAGAAGGTAAAAAAAAAAAAAAAAAAAAAAAAAAAAAAAAAACGAAAAAGTAAAAAAAAAAAGAAAAAAAGAGTAAAATGATAGATATTGAAGGCATTTTCTTTATATATATATATATATATATATATATATATTTCAACAAAGTCATGCTATACAAAACTTAAGTTAAAGATGTAATTACCCCAACTAAAACTTTTTTTTGTTCTCTATACGTTTGTCTATCACAACTGCAAATCACTAGGTAAAGGAGGTGTTCTTATTTTGTACGTGTAGAATGACGTAGACGCAGTCATTCGCATTTCTCCCTTACACCTTCGCATTTGAGCTACAGCCGTACGCAAGCGTTCCAAAGTAGTAAGCAGATTGCTATACGTTTCGGCAGAGCAGTACATACCACTTAATTTTATGTGGTCGACCAATCGATTAATATCTATGCATAACTCACGTACATCAACTTCCAGCGTGTCTATCAAAAATCCTGCCTCTATCCTGCTCACAACCGTTTCTAGGCTGGTGTTAACTGATGATAAATACTCAGATGGAGAAATACCACCAATAGAAGAAATCCAAGATACACCTCTTTTATCAGAGTTCTCATACTTGTGGTCTTCGCTTGTCATCTATGTAGCTTTCATAAGATTGTCTTTAATATAACACCGTTAAACACCACACGATATATATATATATATATATATATATATATATATATA